GGGGAGAAAATAGTGCATCAAAGGGAGCAATGGAGAAGTTTAATGAGAATCAGCTCAACCCTGCTGTTAGAATATTTGAAAATAGTGTATCCTCTGCTAAATATACACAAAAAAGATCTCTAGCTTTGGGAGATATCACAAATGTATCTTCAAACCTATGTGATAAGTTTTCCAATGCCACTAACCAGGTTAGGAAATGCCTACTTATGAGTTTAGTTACTAAGTAGGCACAATTGTGATGATGAAAAAGTCTTCTTCCTACTTAGATATGATGTTTTGGTTTTTTCCTAGCCTTATACGAGTTTATCAGTCTTATATAAAACAGCTTGTAGGTGACACAATATTTTCTCTCATTGTTTAAAGTTCCAAAACTAGAAGTGATTAATATTGCTAAGAAGTTAGTGAAATACATTTTTTCAGTAGCTATTTTATTATAATTTTTTAACAATATCATGTGGCTTCGTTTTGATATGGTTCTTCCAAAAATAGCTTACTTCTATGCACACTGGCTATTTAATCATTGAATATTAATCATACATACTGCTTAACAATCTTTAGTCATTCCATTAGTTGAATGAGTGTTTAGAAAAAAAAAAATACTAGGAACTCAAAGTAGAACAGGTACATTATATTGCTCATCTGATCAAGTGTTCAAGCATAAAAGTGCAAGGTTTAAAGCTTTCGAAAACTACATGAACATCATTGAAGAACCAGGAGGAAGTATCTAATGAAGCCAAAGACTACAGGTCTTTAATCTATTTCTTTTAATGAAAATGTGTTGTTCATAGGTTTCAAATATACCTTCTTAACTTTTGGATGGTGTTTTTTTTTATTAGGCTGTCAAAGATGTAAGACTAATTCTATGGACATGAATAATAGTATTACTTTGAACCTACCAACGATAATACAAGAGCACGAAGGTCCGCATAATGTAGCAGTTAATGTTAGTAGAAGAAAGGAAAATATTTCATCAAGTAAAAGGAAAGGCAAAAAAATTATTCTGCTGCCTACTGCGATGTCAAATCGTGATCATAGCAAAGGATCAAATGTTGGTAATGTTGGAAATTGTGCCCTAGGGGCCAATCATTATGTTTTGAACATTGTTAATTTATGAATTTATTAATTACGTTATTATATTATTTGCATGTTTACTGTGATGACTATCCTTGGATAACTCATGGTTTATCCTAAATGTCCCTGGTCGGTCATCTATGTGGGAGCAGAGATGAAATAAGACCAATATGACTTTAAAGATATATAGAGATATAAATTAAAGTCATAGGCACATGTAAGAGTACAAGGTGTTGGACCGACCCGCTATGAGAGAGCTGCATGGGTTAAGTCATAAGCTTCTCTCATATACAAACCATGTCACTGTGCCCTTTGACCTGAGATCATCATGGATTCCTACATGAGAAACGCTTAGCTTTGACCTAGTCAAAAGTCACTTTTGACCGAGTGATCATAAAAGACTATGTTCAGGCTTAGTGGTTTTTCATGCGGAGGAATGTGAATGGTCAAGATGGAATTTGTCCCTCACATTCGTAGAGAGATATTACTGGGCCCCTCGATGAGTGAGTCTGAGAAATGTATGGCCATACTATAATGGAAAGGTAGTTCCGTTTCTATACTCAGACTACTCAGGGATCGAGAAAGTAACGGTCATGAATAGGAGGATGACGTTCTCCATGCCTCATCCATGACCAAAATGTCATGTGACAAAAGGGACGCGATATGGTTGTATGAAAGGTTACATCATTCAACGATCCTCATATGATTTGGGTAGTCGTGATGTCTTGCTAGAGACCGCTTACGACTTGTGAGTCATTATAGTTAATGGCCCACTGCCAACTTCATATGGGCCTACAGGGTCGCACACAAAATAGCCCAACGCGAGTTATGATGTCCAGATTCATTGAATCTAAGATATGTCCAGATTCAATGAATAATATAGGGTGGACATGTATATATATATTCGTATATATATATATATATTATATAAATATAAGAGATATTAATTGTTAGATTTAATTTATAAGGATAAATTAGATCTATGTAAATTAATTCCGTCATATCTTTATTTTTGAATTAAATAAATAGGTGAATTAAATCTGTGAGACGGATTTAATATAAACCATATTTATTTAATTATTCTCTTATCTGATTAGGCAATATTTGATATTGTATTAATTTCGGAATTAATTTAGGATTAATTTCAAAATTAAAAATCATTCATTAAACCTATAGCATCCTATATATTTGATATGAGGAGCTAGGGTTTTAAGAGGGAGAGCGAAAGCACTAAGCAGATAAGGGATAACCAAAAGTGAGAAGAGAGGACAGATTTTTGAAAACCCTAGACGGACATAGACGCTAGCACGTCGTTCGAGATTGAGGGCTACTCGTGTGGATACCGGTAGAGGAAGCCGACCGGAGTTGTCGACTTCGAATGACAAAGGAGGCGAGCAGAGGCATCCTGAACGGCGGAATCACCGAGCCACCTAGAAATCGAACACCGAAGGTAATGCTTCTTACTACCTAACTCAAACGCGATCGGTAGATCCGGGCAAGGGGTTGAAAGTTTTAAATTTTAAGTTGATTTCCACTGCGCGTCGTCTTTCAATTCCCTTCAGGTAAGTAAGGGAGTAATTGTGTCAATACATTATTAGCAATTCTTTGATTTCTTTAATTTATATAATATCTCTTTATTTTCATGATAAACCTCTTATATGTCAATTTTTTTTTTTAACAGAATCTAATAATTGTAGTGTATATCATAAGTCACTTGATAGTATTGGAAAGAGGAGAAGAATTAATTTGAACAAACAATTAGCAGCAGAAAACACTTATGACTTGGGCAATTCATCTACAGATCCCCAGTCGAATCTTATGATAGACGTTGGTAAGCCAAGTTCACAAGTCTATCATGCATCTTCCCTGAAAATCTTATACTTTATGGAGTATGCTTCAAATTAATTTTAACTGTTATTTTGTATTTGGATAATTGGACAATGGATAATATGCCTTCCTATTCCCAACATTTGGCCATTTCTTTTGAAGAACAGATAAACAGTTGGACTATAGAGATATTAGCTTCTCCTTCAATTCAGATGAAAGTGATGAAAGTGCCAATGATGATAATGAGCCACACCAATACACTGGTAAATTAAAATCCCTTTCTCAATATTGGACAACATAGATATTACATATTAATATTGATTACTATTAACTATAAATTAATATAGTGTTTTTTAATGTTATTACTCTTAATAGAATTAATTAATAATTAATAATTAATACTAATTAACATTAATTGTCTCTTATATGTGAACAACTTCATCATCAAAAAGTTTCGTCATTTAATGTAGGCTCTAGACGCAGTGGAGATGCTATGAATGGAGATCAAGTATTGAATGAGAATAATGATTTCACTTTCGATGGACATACTTCAGAAGGTTTGATTATATATGGATGTTATACTTACTTATTTGTATATTCCTGTTCTATGTAATAGTTAGAACTTCATTCCTTATTATTGATGTGGTTACATATATTAATCATTAATAATTAATAATAATAAATAATAATTATTTATTCTATCCACAAATGTTTTACAGATTATGTTGATGAAGGTGACCCCATATATAAGTGCTCACATTGTGCGCAATGCTATGGTATAATGAGAGGATTAAGAAGGACACAAAGAGGATTAATATCACATTTTCAATGTGTTGTCTAAAGGGAAAAGTTCAATTACCTCTTATGCGGCCACCTCCTTCTAAGCTACAGAACTTATTCTTTAGCAAGGACTCAACTGATTCAAAGAATTTTCAAGCAAACATAAGGCAATACAATAATATGTTCTCATTCACGTCACTGGGAGGGAAAATTGATCATTCAAAAAATTCTAGTGGTGGACCATATTCCTTTGTCATGCATGGGGTCAATTATCATTCCATTGGGAGTCTTTTGCCTCCAAAAGGTGGGAGACCAGTTTATTCACAGCTCTACATATTTGATACAGAGCATGAAGTAGCTAATCAAATATCAGCTGTTAGGTTTATCATTTTATTTTTACATTTATTTAATGAGCAAAAGTCCTATAAAATTTGTATGAGTATGATGCTAAGTTTTTACAATTTTTTTGCAGCAAACATCAAACTCAATCAACAATTCTCCCTAAAATTGTCAACCAAATAAAAGATGTTCTTGATGCTGTTAATCCTTTTGTTCAACAATATAGATGTGCATTATCAATGATTATGAATGAAGGACAGAATGAATTGAAATTATGCTTGATTAGTAGTAGAGACACAGATGGTCGCACCTTTAACTTGCCTTCTGCATTAGAAGTTGCTACTTTAATTGTTGGTGACATTGATATGAGTTTTAATGTCAGAGACATCCTTGTCGAAAAAAATTTCAGGATCTATTCAACGAATTAGCGAACTTCATGCTGCATATCTTCCATTGCAGTATCCTATCTTATTTCCGTATGGGGAAGATGGATATAAAGTTGACATTGACCATAGAGAAGAGAGCCTTGCTATTACTAAGAAGAAGAAAAAGCTTAGCATGAGGGAATATTTCACATTTAGATTGATGGTGAGGGAAAATGAAATCTCTACCTTACTCCATGCAAGAAGATTGTTGCAACAATTTGTTGTTGATGGTTATACGATGATTGAGTCTCAAAGGTTGCTTTGGGTTAAAACTCACCAAAGAGAACTAAGGGTTGATCTATACCAAGGACTGTCTGATGCATTAACAAGTGGGGAGAGAGATGCTGCATCAATAGGAAGACGTATAATACTTCCTTCGTCTTTTACTGGAGGAGCTCGTTACATGATAATGAATTACCAAGATGCAATGGCTATTTGTCGGTGGGTAGGATACCCTGATATCTTCATAACATTCACTTGCAATCTAGCTTGGCCTGAAATTACAAGATTTTGTTCTCAACATGGATTACATCCTTCTGATAGGCTAGATATTTTATGCAGAGTATTCAAAATGAAGCTTCAATCATTGATGAAGACCATCAAAACAAAAAAGATTTTTGGTACTGTTAGGGCAGGTATATGTTCATGCATAGTTGTTTAATTAATGGTAGTTTTGAATAATCATTATCTATTTGTTTCCAAATGAATTTATATATATTTATCTTTATTTTGACAGAGATTTACACAATTGAGTTCCAGAAGAGAGGATTACCACATGCGCATATACTATTATTCCTTGATACAAGGGATAAGCTCAAACATCCTAAAGATGTTGATAAGATCATATGTGCAGAAATCCCTGATAAGGATTCATCACTACTGTTATATGACTTGGTAAGGAAATTCATGGTTCATGGTCCTTGTGGCTCTAGCAATCCTAAATCACCTTGTATGAAGGATAAGAAATGTAGTAAATACTTCCCAAAGAGATTCAATGATAATACAAAAGTTGATGACGAAGGATATCCTACATATCGTCGCAAAGCTAATGGTAGGTTAGTTGAAATCAAGTCTATCACTTTAGATAATCGATATGTTGTGCCTTATAATCCTTCGCTTCTACAAATGTTCCAAGCTCATATAAATGTGGAGAAATGTAATCAATCATCTGCAATTAAGTATTTATTCAAGTATATCAGTAAAGGTAATGACAGAGTAGTTGTCAAAATATTTGACAAAGATGGTGCTGCAATATTTGATGAGATTCAATAGTACTATAATTGCAGATATATCTGATCATGTGAGGCTTCATGGAGAATATTTGGGTTTGATATACATCATAGGTATCCGTCAGTGGAAAGGTTAAGTTTTCATCTACCTAATCAGCAAAGTGTAATATATTGTAATTCTAATGATGTTGCTGACATACTTGACAAACCAAGAGTTAGTGAATCACAATTCCTTGCTTGGATGAAGATTAACGTAACTGATACTTTTGCTAGGACTCTAACTTATGCAGAATTCCCAAATCATTATGTGTATAAAAGAACTATGAGGGAATGGAAGAAAAGGAAGAGAGGATTTTCAGTTGGCCGCATTTGTCATGCTTCATCAACCTTTGGAGAGTTTTACTACTTGCGGGTCCTTCTAACAAAAGTAAAAGGACCACGTTCTTTTGATGAAATTAGAACAGTTGATGGTGTTCCATATCCAACTTTTAGGGGAGCACGTTTTGCCATGGGATTATTAGATGATGATAAGGAGTACATATTTGCAATAAAGGAGGCATCAACATGGGCACCTGGTCAATATCTTCGTAGAATGTTTGTTAGTATGCTGTTATGTTATTGTTTGAGTCGGCCTGAAGATGTATGGAAGGAGATAGCTGCATTATTATCTGAAGATTTATTATACATTCCACGAAATGATCCAAACTTCTCAAGTACATCTCTAATGCTTGCTAGATATTTAACTTTCTCCGTATACTACATTAAATTTGCTCAATTCATATATATGTTTAGTAAATAATTACATATGCATTAATTTATTGTCCTCTGTTTTACATGCAGATATTTCTATCCCTCTAGAATAGAAAGAACAAGTAGCATTGACAGAAATTGATAAGTTATTACAAGGGAATGGGAGAAGCCTAGCTGATTTTCCCTCTATGCCAAGTCTAGCATGCATTGAACCTCTTGATGTTTCAAATCAACTTATATTACAAGAGTTAAACTATGATCAGAATGCTCTTCGTTTAGAAGCTGCGAGACTCATAGAATCATTGAATGAAGAGCAACTTCATATATTCAATCATGTAATGTCAGTGTTGGAACATCAAACAGGTGGTTTTTTCTTTGTGTATGGTTATGGTAGAACTGGTAAAACATTTCTATGGAATGCTCTGACATCAATATTACGTTCTAATGGAGAAATTGTGTTAACAGTTGCCTCAAGTGGAATAGCAGCAACTTTATTGCCTTCTGGAAGAACAGCTCATTCAAGGTTTGCAATTCCTATTCATGTACATGAATATTCCATGTGTTCTATCAAGCAAAATTCTCCTATATCTAATCTTATTGAGAAGATGAAGCTTATTATATGGGATGAAGCTCCAATGGTCCAATGCTACTGCATAGAAGCTTTTGACAGAACATTAAAAGATATAATGCATTGTTCAGCTCCACTTGGTGGGAAGTGCATTGTTATGATTGGTGATTTCCGTCAGATACTTCCTGTTATCCCGAAAGGTACAAGAGCAACAATTGTTAATGCATGCATTAACTCATCAGCATTGTGGGAACATTGCAAAGTTTTCAAATTGACAAAAAACATGCGCTTGAATTTAGCGACATCAACAGAAGGTTGCTTGAGGCTACAAAGGTTTTCACAGTGATTACTGGATGTAGGTAATGGTCATTTAGGCGAAGCAAATGATGGAATTGCAGAGATTGATATCCCCCTAGAGCTCTTGATTAGTAGTTATACAAATCCAATACAAGCAATTGTTGCTTCGACTTATCCCAATCTACTTGAAAATCTACACAAGAATGAATACTTCAATGATAGAGCTATACTAGCACCAACCATTGAGCATGTCTATCAAGTGAATGACTATATGTGCTCTTTGTTACCAGGAGAAACATTTGAGTTCCTCAGTTGTGATACTGTATGTAGATCTGATGAAGACATTGATAGCTTCAACAATTTGTATACAACAGAATTCCTTAACACTATTAGTTGTTCAGGTTTACCACCACACAAGTTGATCTTGAAAGTTGGAGTACCAATTATGTTGCTACGGAATATTGATCAATCTGCATGCCTTTGTAATGGTACACGCATGCGTATATCCAAATTGGGCAAGAATGTCATTGAAGCGATCATATTAAGTGGTTCAAATCCAAACCAAAAGGTATTACTTCATAGGATGGACATAAATCCCTCTGAGAGTAGGTGGCCATTTCGTATGAAGCGTAGGCAATTCCCTATCACTCTTTCATTTGCCATGACAATAAACAAAAGTCAAGGCCAATCTTTAAGAAGTGTTGGACTTTTTCTAACAAAACCTGTTTTTGCTCATGGCCAGCTATATGTTGCACTATCAAGAGTGAAATCAATTGATGGCTTGAAGATTATAATTGATGCAGATAGAAAAAATATGAAGTCCACAACAACAAATGTTGTGTACAAGGAGATCTTTCGTAATTTGTGAGATTGAGAAGATGTTATTTTATGTTCCTTGTAAGTTATTTTGTATACTTGCTTCCAGGCGTGTATGTTTGATTATTACATTGATAGTATGTTTGGTTTATGAGAAATGAATTTGGACTACGTTATTGAACCTGTAGGTGTGTTGTTTTAGTTATTTAATTGTGGAAATGCTCGCACGGGAAAACTTGTGCTAGTTCATTTACAACATTAATAGTGGCTGTTGACAACCCAAGAAGAGATTGTTAACAACCTTGGCAATGCCCCTGGCATCCCACAGAATGAGTTGTCAGGAGCACTGCTAAGGTTGTCAACCACTTCTTCTCGGGTTGTCAACAGCCACTGTTAAGGCTGTAAATGAATTACTATAATAAAATTAATGGGGGTAAATGAGTAATTTTACAATTATAATTAATTACACACAGGTCTCTAGGGACTTCAGAATTATTTCGGGATTTTCAGGGACTTTTTCTAAATTAATTGTTTTCTGTGGGACTTGAGTGTAATTTTCTAAGAAAAATTAAATTGAGCATATTAGAAATGTTGAGGCCGTTTTTAGCAGAAAGAGAGTATGATGAAGAGAGACAATGGAGAGACTTTGAAAGGCCGGACAAAGAGAAAACCAATTATGGTCCCTTTTTCTTTAATATTAGATCATTAATATAAGAACTAAAAAACTAATTTTTGAATATTAACAAAATTAAGTAAGTTATTCATTTGTAATAAATAGATGCTGTTTTTTCTAAAATATTTTTATTAATAATGCGTATCGAAACAATTCTTGCAATCACTATAAATATTACTTGGGAGGTAAAATAGATCAATATGGCTAACAAAATGGATTGATATTTGTTTTTAGGACCAAATTAAGTCTCTAATTAGCTCTTATATTAAACTTAAATTACATGATTTCGATGTCTAGAATTCATGACAGGGACTCTAGAAAATTGGTAGATTTTGATGATAAAATATGAGCTGTGACAATATAATGTTCGCCATAGTGAATCATTCTTTGCTGGATACTAAAAACATTTCTATGGATGAAGTTGAAAAATCCTGTTGCTTATACTTTTATTGTTATACTAATTGATTGTGTCATAATTATAAGATCTCATTTATAGACTCCAAACAAAGTATTATAATTAGGACCGGAGGTAGTACCATTTTTTAAATATTACCTTACATCTCATTGGTGTAAAATTTAGTTTAAATTAAAAAGGATTAAAAGGTTTTCTTACCATGTGATTAAATGTATTTAATATGCAAGTAACTTAATTAATTTGAATTAATAAAAATCGAGGCTATTTATCACTAAATAATTTAAATTAACATTTTGATATATAATTAACTGCTAAATGATGTTGAACAAAAATTGATGTAATATTTTGAAGTTAAAATTTATACATGTAATAAATTACCATCGCCAATAAATATTATATGAAAAAAATTTTATTGCTAGATGACTATCAAGTTTGGAACATACCCATGACATGTGGATGCATTACATTAGAATCAACAATACATCCTGTAATAGCGACCACATGATGCAAAGTAAGCTAGGAAGACTGGAACCAAAGTACGAGCTGCAGCTTACACTGGCTAAGATACTGCCATTTGTGACGCTTCAAAGAGCCCTAGTAACCATAAGCATCCTTTGTGGGGAGTAGTAGCTATCAAATTATGCTATTAAGAGTCAAAACTCGGGTGTGGGTACCTCATGGGGTATTTAAAACGTCCCTGGCAACATACACCAAAGAGCAAGATTTTGGCATAGAATCCAAAGTAGAGAAGTGCCAATAGACACGCAGTAAGGCTAGTGCTTGAACAAGTAGTGGACAAGATATCATGAAACCACTGGAACTTAGAGAAACAAAGATAGAATAGAAGCAACTGCATACTTGGTTGAACAAACATGAGAACACAAAGACAAAATGTTGCAATACTGCTTGATGGACCTCTAAGTGACTACTAAAGAACTTAGAGGGCCCCATAGTATCATCCACATGTGTGGAGCTTTTTGGCATAAGTTCCGTCAGAACTCAAGACATTAATAGGATGCTCTTCCCGAGTACACTTGCTTAAAAAATAACATAACTCCTTCTTAGAGACAGTTGATCCTGGCAAGAACAGCATAACTCCGTAGTCCCCAGACCCCAGTCGACTAGCAAAATTCATACTCCCAAAACAAACGAAGGCGTGGGAACTCTCTAGTTTTCTGGCTTGCTTCAAGCTAGAGTCACAAAACTCAAAAGGGGGACGTTTCCTGAAAGATATAGGGGGTGTTTGGATGGAATCAAAACCATAATTTTAAAAATGCTTTTATGGTATACGAAATAAATATGTGAAAGAGTTTATCTCGATTTACGAAAAAGTACTTTTTAGAAACACTTTTGATGCTACCCAAACACCCCGAAACTAAGACTTGTGCTTGACCCAAAGACCGGACCTTCTCTACTTGATCTAGAAGAATCCTTTTCTCTCGCAAGCTAAACTCTTTCACACCACTTTGAAGAGAATTACTGTCACCAAAATCCATAAGCGTATCTTGAGGTTCAAGTTTTGGGAGTGATTGGCAACCATTAAAAGTGCTTTGAAAAAGCACTTCTCCGTAAAATGAGGCAAATTCCTCTGCATATTATTTTGTGTACCGTAAAATCACTTTTAAAACTATAGTTTGGTTTCTACTTAAACACTCCTGGTCTCTTAAAACAAAGCGCGATCATTAGCCTCTCATTTATGCTTCCGCGTGGCAGCATGGGGAGTCTGATTATGATTATTAGAAACTCCAGCACCACTCAAGCACTCCTGTGATTCAATGAGACTTGTTATCCTAGAGTGATCCGATGCTTTCCTCATAACTAGGGGTGGGAATAGGCCAGGCGGCCTGTCAGGGGCCTGTGGCCTGGCCTGTAAATAGCCTGGCCTGGCCTGGCCTATTTAACTATCAGAACAGGCTCAGGCCTGTGAAATGGCCTGTTTATCTTATCAGGCCAGGCTCAAGCCTGATAATCAGCCTTTTAGGCCTGTTAGGCCGGTCTGGGCCTGTTTTTTTTCTTAGGGTTAAAATTGTAATTTCATAGGGGGTGAGAAATTTACCCTAAGTCACTCAGTCACTCCTACTCTCCCGGTCTCCCCGCTCACGCTACCGTCGCCACTCGCCCGTCTCTTCTTCAATCTTCAGTTCTTCGACTTTGGAGTTTGGACGGTCCCATTTCATTTTCGCCGAAAACAGACTACGCTTAATCCTTCCAGCCCAAACAGCGTACAGTGGAAGTTCCAGGCTTCTCTACTCTCTGGTCGGCGCTCGGCAACAGAAAATAGCAGACGGCAGAACTCAGAAGCTAGTCGACGGCGGTGCACGGGCTGATAGCGGCACATTCAGGTACCCACTAGCTAATCGCACACGCTTCCCTTCCTCCCTTCTTCTTCCATTTTGTTCTTCGGTTGATCGCTGCGTTTTCGATTCCATCATAGATATAAATCTGCTGCCTCTGCATTTTCGATTCCATCACATATATATATATGTATTATCTAGTCAAGCGCTGCCTATTGATTCTTTTATTTCTGGATTGAGAATACCGAGTGTTGTAGCCTGATTGATTCTTTTATGGTTCAAACTTCTGATCTGCCGACGCCGTGCAAAGACCCCGGTGATTTAGCCTTGTTTGTTTGCAAATTTGTCTCCCAAAGCTCTCAGCCTCTCACTTACATTCAGAAGTTGCAGTCCGAGTTAACATTGGCAGAACAAGTAAGTTGTAAGTTTTCTCTTTGGTTCACAAATTTAATGCATTGATTGTGTTTGCTTCTAAAATTATAATTCGTGATATGAATGTCCTTATTCTGGGAGAAAGGGGAACCACTAGAATAAAAATATTTGCATCGATCTGTAGACTGCAAGTAAGCCTGAGGACGTGTTTGCTTCTTCTTCGTGTTCTTATCTGATAAATTAATCCAAGGTTTGTGATTGATATATAGGCTGGAGTCATTATTAGTTTTCTGGTATTTGTGATTGATATATCGGTTGGAGTCATTATTAGTTTTCTAGTAATAATAGTCAATTCAGGTAGCTCATCAATCTGTTTCATATCAGATTTGCTGAATATAATGGTCAATTCATCAGCTTTATTTGCATTGCTCTTGCTGAGGACGTGTTTGCTCTTGCTCGTTGCTCTTGCTCGTTCCTCTTATTCAGTATATTAATTTACATACTCTTTATTTTTCTGATTTTTTATTGTTATTGAGTTCTAGTTAATGTCAACTCCACTTGGAAGTGAAACAATGTCATCCAATTCAGTTCCTCCTAATACAAATGCAATTGAGGTCAATCAACAAGCACCAACAGATTCTAGTCAACAAACTAATGATGAGAATAATGGTGGTGATTGTATCATTCAGAAAAAGAGACGAAAGACTTCAGGTATTTGGGAGGAAATGGATCAAGTTGAAACTGATAATGGGCTCAAAGGTAGATGCAAGTATTGCAAACAACTATTTGCATACTCAGGCAAGGGAGCTAGCACTTCCCATCTTTGGAGGCATGTTGGATCTTGCTTGCAAAGGAAGTTGCACACTTCTTCACAACAAAAGCAACCCACCATTCCATTCCAACCTTCTAATCAGAGTGTTAATCCATTTATAGCACCTGGTGCGAGATATTCTAATGAAAAGATGAGGGAAATAATGGCTACTGCAATTATGGTACACGAGCATCCTTTTAACATTGTTGAGGATGAGGTCTGGATGTGGGGCTTTCAGTATGCAAATTCTGAATTTCAAAAAATTTCTCGCAAGACGGCAAGAAGTGATTGTTTGGCCATATATGAGGCAGAAAAGAAACAATTAAAAGCTCTATTACAAGGTGTGAGCAAGATTAGTTTGACCACTGATATGTGGAAATCAGCTCACCAAGTAGCTGAATACATGGTTATCACTGGTCATTTCATAGATGCGGGGTGGAATCTGCAAAAGAGGGTTTTGAGTTTTGTAAAAGTTCCTGCTCCTAGACGGGGAATTGACGTGGCAGATGCTATTTTCAAGTGTTTGAAGGCTTGGGGGATTGAAAACAAAGTATTTTCTATTTCAGTTGACAATGCTTCTTATAATGATTCTTGTTTGAGGGCTCTTAAAGATACCCTATCACTTAGTAGTTCATTGCCTCTTGGTGGTAGTTTGTTTCATGTTAGATGTTGTGCACACATACTAAATTTGTTGGTGCAAGATGGCCTTGGTAGAATTAGGGACATCATACATAATGTCCGTGAGAGTGTGAAATATATTAACTATAATGATTCAAGGCTGAAAGCATTTTGTGATGTTGTTGAGCAGAAACGGTTGAAGGAAAAGAAGCTCATCATTGATTGTCCAACAAGATGGAATTCTACATATAAGATGTTGTCTACTGCTTTGAAGTTCAAGGTTGTCTTTCCTGCTTATAAAGAAAGAGAGCCACATTACAACTATGCACCATCAGAAGAGGATTGGAATAAGGTTGAGAAGATTTGTAAACTTTTAGAAGTGTTCAATCTAGCAACCCATGTCATCTCAGGTAGTGAGTATCCTACTGCAAATTTGTACCTTCCTGAAGTTTGGAGAGTGAAACAAGTAATTGATAATGCCATAGAAGATGATGATTTCTTCATTACAGACATGGCATCCTCAATGAAAGAGAAGTTTGACAAATATTGGGGGGAATGTAATATGTTAATGGCTATTGCAAGTGTTCTAGATCCGAGGTGCAAATTGTTGGAAATTGTGCCCTAGGGGCCAATCATTATGTTTTGAACATTGTTAATTTATGAATTTATTAATTACGTTATCATATTATTTGCATGTTTACTGTGATGACTATCCTTGGATAACTCATGGTTTATCCTAAATGTCCCTGGTCGGTCATCTATGTGGGAGCAAAGATGAAATAAGACCAGTATGACTTTAAAGATATATAGAGATATAAATTAAAGTCATAGGCACATGTAAGAGTACAAGGTGTTGGACCGACCCGCTATGAGAGAGCTGCATGGGTTAAGTCATAAGCTTCTCTCATATACAAACCATGTCACTGTGCCCTTTGACCTGAGATCATCATGGATTCCTACATGAGAAACGCTTAGCTTTGACCTAGTTAAAAGTCACTTTTGACCGAGTGACCATAAAGACTATGTTCAGGCTTAGTGGTTTTTCATGCGGAGGAATGTGAATGGTCAAGATGGAATTTGTCCCTCACATTCGTAGAGAGACATTACTGGGCCCCTCGATGAGTGAGTCTGAGAAATGTATGGCCATACTATAATGGAAAGGTAGTTCCGTTTCTATACTCAGACTACTCAAGGATCGAGAAAGTAACGGTCATGAATAGGAGGATGACATTCTCCATGCCTCATCCATGACCAAAATGTCGTGTGACAAAAGGGACGTGATATGGTTGTATGAAAGGTTGCATCGTTCAATGATCCTCATATGTTTTGGGTAGTCGTGATGTCTTGCTAGAGACCGCTTACGACTTGTGAGTCATTATAGTTAATGGCCCACTGCCAACTTCATATGGGCCTACAGGGTCGCACACAAAATAGCCCAACACGAGTTATGATGTCCAAATTCATTGAATCTAAGATATGTCCAGATTCAATGAATAATATAGGGTGGACGTGTATATATATATATATAAATTCGTATATATATAAGAGATATTAATTGTTAGATTTAATTTATAAGGATAAATTAAATATATAAATTAATTCCGTCATCTCTTTATTAAATAAATAAGTGAATTAAATCTGTGAGACGGATTTAATTCAAACCATATTTATTTAATTGTTCTCTTATCTGATTAGGCAATATTTGATATTGTATTAATTTCGGAATTAATTTAGAGTTAATTTCGAAATTAAATATTATTCATTAAACCTATAGCATCCTATATATTTGATATGAGGAGCTAGGGTTTTAGTTAGAGTAACAACAGATAAGAGACGGCCTAAGAGAGATAAGAGTGGACGGATTTCTAAAACCCTAAACGGACATAGGCGCTAGCACGCCATTCGAGGTTGAGGGCTACTCGTGTGGATACCGGTAGAGGAAGCCGACCGGAGTTGTCGACTTCGAACGACAAAGGAGGCGAGCAGAAGCATCCTGAACGACCGAATCATCGAGTCACCAGGAAATCGAACGCCTGAAGGTAATGCTTCTTACTACCTGACTTAAACGCGATCGGTAGATCCGGGAAAGGGATTGAAAGTTTTAAAATTTTATGTCGTTTTCCGCTACGCGTCGTCTTTCAATTCCCTTCACAAATTATATGTTGTTAATTATTGTTTCCCTCTAATTTATAAACCTGATTATGTGGCTTCAGAGAATGTGGATAAAGTGGTGAGTAGTATGAAAACAATGTATGATGAGTATATTGGCATGTATAAGGGAGAGACAACTATGGGTAATGAACTTGTTAATGCTAGCAACAACTCTCCTGTCAATGTTTCTGGTTCTTCCATAGTTACTGGATTCGACCAAATCATGAGCATTGTTCGTGAAAAGCAAGCAATTCCCCCAATGAAATCAGAATTGGAAGCTTACCTTGAGGAGGGTGTTTACATTCCCGATGGTAGTTCTAACTCATTCAGCGCCTTGGAGTGGTCGAAAAATAATAGTCTAAAGTATAAGATTTTGTCTAAGATGGCAGCTGATGTCTTAGCTATTCCAATTTCAACAGTGGCATCAGAGTCCACATTCAGTGCTGGTGGTAGAGTTATTGATGAATATCGTTCTAAATTGAATGAACAATCAATTGAAGCACTTATTTGTGGTGGGGATTGGCTTCGCAATAAGTATGGTTTGAAAAAGAAACCAAAGGTACAAATCTTGAATTATAAAAATAATACAATTTCTTATATTTATTAGTTATTAAATTTTGTTATGATCTAATATATATTTGATTTTTTCTTCTCAGGTGTTTGAACAAGAAGAAGAAATTGTGTTGAAGATTTAATGCTTTGTAGTTGTATGATTCGTTATAATTGTAACAAGAACAATTGTGTTAATTTGATTATTTCATATTTTGTTTGTATTTTGGATAATTTGGATGAAGTTATTATAATTTTGAATGGATTTATTTATGTTTACAATTTATTAAAAAATGCAGGCCTCTTAACAGGCCACAGGCCAGGCTCAGGCCAATTAAAAGGCCTTTTACAGGCCACAGGCCAGGCTCAGGCCAACAGGCCTCATCACAGGCCTGGCCTATTAAGGGTGAGGCCTGGCCTGGCCTGGCCTAGCCTGTTTCCACCCCTACTCATAACATAGTCCCAACCATGAAAAGCAACAAATCCTGATCCATGAAAGTTAATGTGATTAGATCTTGGCCCATTAAAAGAAGTGATAAGCCCGTCAGTGGAAGCAAGCCTCTGAACAGTTCTTGTTCTCGTGACCCAATCTATTGCATTTAAAACAGATGCCACTGATATGCCCAAGCATTAAGGAAGGGGAAACTTTTGCTTCTGAATTTATGGGAGAGAGGCATGCATTTAATGACATCTTCTTCTCCAATGCAATCCTGACACGCAGGCCATTTGCATGTGGTAGAAGACGCGTCGAAGCTCAAGAAAGTGCCTAGCCTTCCACCACGAAACTTTGCTACCTTTCCTTCGTATAACAATCCAGTGGAATACCATAAAATCTCATCCACACGACCACACATGAACTTTGGGAAAAAGGGCAGAACCTAACAAAGTATCAGAAGTCCTTTCATATATTGCTGCGGAGAAACCTTGAAGAATCCACGTTCCTTGACTTAACGCTATTTGAATGGAATCAAAATCATAATTTTAAAATTATTTTTACAGTATACTCCTCTGATCCTATTTATAAGATAGAAAGAGAATTTTTTTATCCTATTTATAAGTCACTTCATTAAATTTTTATCATGAATGTACTATATTATCCTTCATTTATTATAATGTACGTAGTTATTTTTTGAAAAGTATATATATTAAATAGGGATAAAATTGAAAAGTAGCTGTATTTTAATTAGAAGTTAATATAGCTTAAGATTTTTCTTAGTTTATGTGAAATATGTTGAAAATACCTTATAAATAGGACTAGAAGAGTATAAAGTAAATATGTGAAAGAGTTTTTCTTAATTTACAAAAAAGTGTTTTTAAAAAATACTATTCATCGTAGCGAAGCACCCCCTTAAAATAACATCAAGCTGTTGATGAGGACGAGTAAAATATAGAACAAATAGATTCTCAACATCTTGCGGCACCCTTATGATACCCTTTGAATTCCAATAATATCGGCTTAAAGCTTGAAGTTTTGCTGCATGCAGCTTCCTCACACCAAGAACTTTGACAAAGAGAAAACGTTTTAGGCAGAAAGCTAGATGAGAATTATCACAGGCTGGAGGTTTCATCTTGTAAACTACAAAGAACCACACACCTAAGATAACAAACACCAACCCCAATAGAAAGTAGCAGCAAACCAAGCCGAAGACAAGAAGCAAAAGCAAACTAAACTGAAGCTGAAACAAACTGAAAAAGATCAAACCAGGAAAGTATAGAAAATAAGGTACCTCATGAGCTCAGAAGAACCTTCGAGCAAGAAACTTCTTAGAGAGAAAACCCTCCTTCCTCCCCTGTAGGAGATGCAAGTGTGGAGTAATAACTATACATTATTATTGCTACAGAAGATAAATATATAAAGATGATCGAAATATGTAAATTTCAAAATAGTCTTTTAAAATGATTTATAAAATTAAAATTTATAATATAACATATATATTTATACATGCAGTAAATCACCGTCATTAATAAATATCAAATCAAAATTATTTCTTTGTTATTTTATTCACCCAAATTTATTAACTTGTATCAACATCTAAATGTTAAATTGTATGCATGTCAATTCAATTATTTGTATAAAAATATTCATTGGCTTCAAAGGACATAAAAATTAGTTATTCTAAAAATATACAAATTCAATTATTTGTATAACAATGTTAAATGGCTATAATGCCAATTTCCAAAACTACAAGAATCAAATTCCACAATAATAGTGAGTCCAAAAAAAAAATTCCACAATAATAGAAAGGCATTGACCAATTTTTGAATTATAAATACAAAATTGAAAACCCAAATAATCATCAATTGATATGGGCTGCTTCTCTTTAAAAGGTATTTATTCAATGGGCCAGCAAACCTGGCCCAAAACATGAGTAATTGACGTTGCTTTGATATTCCCATGGCTCAACACCAAACAAGAAGATATACCTCCCAAATTTTGAATCAGGAGAAAAAAAGTCCACCTTGATTCTCTTCTTCTACGTTTGGCATTGTTTCACCATAATCCCGCAATTTTCCTTTCTTTCAGGTAATAGTAGCACTCTTCTTGGCTTCACGGGGGACAAAATCTTTAGCTACTTCATCTTCCGTTATTCTCATTCTTGAAATTTGGATAAGATAAAAATGCAGTTTAGTGGGAACTAGCTAGCAGGTTTTCTGGATATATGTATTCTTTGAGGTATGGCTTGTTTTTCTGTTACTTGTAGTGCTGGTTTGTCTATTACCCACGATAATTTTGGAGTTAGTATGGCACAAACAAGATACTTTGGGTCTCATGGCGTTTTTTGCACTCGCTTGTTTCATTTTCCTTCTGTGAGGTATAATCAATGCTTCAAATCTCAACACGGGTTGTTCTGCAATCAGAAAATTGGACATTCTGATCGAAAATGTGGAACTAATTTGTTGAGGTTTCCATATCGTTCTAATTCTCGTTCTCAACTCCATAAACATGGAATTGAACCTCTGATGAATGGAAGTAGAGGAGATAGAAGGACACAATATGGTAAAGCGGAAGGAAACAACGGCAGAAAGAGATTTTCGCTGAGATTACGGCCAAGGTTACGGTTACTAGCGGCAAGGATGAAACGGTCTCCGATTAAATCCTTTTTGAATGAGGTGGGAATCTTTATCCGGAAGAACATTAGAGCAGTGGCCTTTTCTACCTCAGTTTCCATTGTATTGGGCCTTTGTTACATGTTTCTGAAATTGACGGCATTTCCCTCTCCAACAATAGTTCCATATTCAGATTTAATTACAAACCTTCAAAGTGGATCTGTTACCAGAGTTTTACTTGAAGAGGGATCTCGACGGATATATTATAATGTGAACTCTCAGAATGATAAGGACAAGCAAATTACTGATAATGATTCGCAAGGGATGAATGTTTCAGTCGATCAGGATATGAATAAGCTTGCAAGTGACGACACTTCAAAAACTGGCCCAACTAGGCTAGTGAATGTACTAGGCAAGTTCTCTAGGACTCGAACTTCTGTTCCTGAGTGGCAGTATTCCACAAGAAAAATTGATCATGACGAAAAATTTCTTGTTAGTTTAATGAGAGAAAAGGGTGTTACATATAGCTCATCCCCTCAGTCAATGTTAATGTCAATGAGGAGCATTTTGTTAACAGTTTTAACGCTGTGGATACCTCTTATTCCATTGATGTGGCTTCTATATCGTCAACTTTCTGCTGCTAATAGCCCGGCAAAGAAGCAAAAACCGCATACTCAAAATGTTGGATTCGATGATGTGGAAGGTGTTGATGCAGCGAAAGCAGAGCTCATGGAGGTAATGACCTTTTTTTGTGACGACTGAGTATTTATGTAATATGGACTTAGATTTTGCTTTTTTGTTTGTTTGATCATTAAGTCTCTTCCAGACTTCCACCATTAAACAGAAGTCCGCAATTGGGCCGTCAGAGTGACTTGTGTTCAAGATAATTAGATTTAAGGTGAATACTTTGTTAGAAAACGGACTATAGTTGTTTCTTTGGAATCTCTTATGTTGTGATTCCTAAAATGTGATCCAACATAAATTGCTAGTATATAGCATGTAAGAAGAAATATGATAACAACTTATAACAGAATATAAACAAGGTTAAACTAACTAATTTGAGCTTTGTTAATGTTGATGGTTGGGAGAAGAAATATAGTAGAAGCAAACATCAACTAGTTTCCTCTAAAATATATAGTAATTTGTGCTTTGATTGAAAGAAAATAATAAGTAAACGGGATGGTAGCTAAGGCAGTGACACAAACTTGATAGTCAAGAAATTATTTACATAGTAATTATGGATGACATTTTTGCTTCTTCACAACCACAATTGAGATTACTTTAGAAATATGAATGCCTGAATATTCTTTTGACCATCGATTATTTTATTAACATATTTAACTTTTGTTATAGACCCTTGTGTATTCATGTTTTGGCATCTTAAGCAATTTCATGTAGATGAAGAAAACTTTCATCATGTGTTAAATCATTTGTACTTCAGGTACAATTGAGTTAGCCTATTCCGATCATTCACTGTAAGGACTTGGGGAATGGCCTCCTTCCTCCTTTAGTATTTCAATTTTTCTGGTGTTAGCCTTAACCATTTGCTGTTGTGGCATAAGCATTGTATGGAAAGTTTAGCCCAATAAGGCAATACAAGTTAAAGGTGACTTGCTGTTTAAATTCCCGGAAAGACCGTCTTATAAAATTACTTTAGGTTATAGGTTAAGAGGATTGACAAAACCACAAGGATTTTTTTTTTTCCCTGGTTACTAGGAATGGATAATAGTAGGGGACTTTATTTAGTTGGGTGGTTCCTTAAGCCTATGAAGGAGAGTAGTGTAGGCTTAGAGAGTTCTACACTGGAATCTTATTCTCTTTAGCATTGGGTGATCTAGAACAATACAGTCTTCGCTAAAATTTGTGGGGATAGGATAAAAATATTGGGGTCTATTGTACTCACTTGAGTATCTGGAAGTTCATGTCTCAGGTATGTTGTTCTTTTGGTGAACCAAATGAGGGGTGGAAAATTCATTTTTTTCCTCCCTTATCAAATTTCTACCTTGCTCCCATTGTTTCCCTTTTTCCTCTTTTGAATGTCCTCATTTCTAGGAATATCCCTTACTTTTGGAACCTGGATGACTGGGATTTCTGATTCGGTCCTGCATTCTTATTTCAAATCATCAGTCTGATTTGACGATGAACAGGATGTATAATATTTTAAAAGTGTTTAGAAAGATTGTATTGTTTTCTAGCATTTAAATCTTGTTGAGATATGTTGAAAAATATTGAAGGGGAAAAGTTGCACAAACCCCAGCAAAATGCGTTGACAAAGATTGAAAGAATAAGAAAAAAAATACTAGGATTGTATATTTTATATTGATGTTTTTTTATGCCTTTACATGGACCAGAGACCCATCTGGATCTTTTACTTGTAAATAATTCTTTAATTTCATATTGGGAACCCTTTCCTCAAAATTCTGCTTTGAGTAATGAGCCTTTGACAGGTTTTGTTTTTTCATAATAGCTTTGCTGTTTGTAATGTTTGTAAAGCTATATCTGCATCGAAAATTGCATAATTGATTCTTAGTAGGGATCATTTTCAGAGATTCTAGTGTTGATATAATTTCTGTAGATGATTTATAATTAATTATATGTCATTTGTGAAAAGGATTACTATTGTATTTATTGTAGACGGTCTAAGTCCCATGTATATGTAGGTTCAACTGTTCATGGAACCTAAATGGCAATTTTGTTTTGACACATTTAAGCAAAAACCCATTAGTAATGCAGACACGACATATTGCAATTCAAGTCCCATGTTTTTTTTTTTTTTGCCTCCTGTGTTTGTGTCAATTTGTAGGCCAGGGTTGACTCCGATTGTGTCTGTGCTTGCCCTGAGTGAGGGCAATTGATTAAAAAGAGATTGGACGTTCTCTTAAGATGTTATGTTGCCCCTGAGTTTTGAAATGGGAAGTTCTTGAATTTCTTTATATGACCTAATACATGAAATGACAATTTTGGAAGCATTCTTCCATAAAGGCCATGTAGATAGCACCTCACATTCCATGATAAATTTACTTAAGGACAAGATATAAATCATGTAAGTTAAAGACAAAAGTAAGAAAAGGAAAATTTAGCTGGTCAAGTTGTCTGGATGAGCATACATTTTTAGTCCTTTTACTTTTGATCATTATAATTTAGTTTTCCGAGTTTAAAGAATAGGTTGACCTTCATCCCTTTTGTTTGTCCTAAAACACCTATACGGTTGCTGTTGATACGTTTGGTTTAAATGTTTTCTGACATATCTGTTGGAAAGAAAATGCAGCATCCTTGTGGACTCCTGCCTTATCTTATCAATATGTCACTGAAAATTAAACAACTGTCCAAGAAGAAATACAATTCACTTATGAAACCAAGGGGACCAGATTGTAATGACTATAAAAGTAAAAGGATGAAAATTAATTGAGCTTAGGAAGATTTAAAAAAACATATTCTAATTTGGTGTTTTTGATCATTCACTTTACCTTGAAGAAATTTTCTTGTAAATAGCCAAGCATCTTTGATTGTTTTCCTGACTTAGTCCCTTTTTTGTAGGTAGTTTCATGTCTGCAAGGAGATATTCAGTACCAAAAGCTAGGAGCTAAGTTACCAAGAGGCGTACTACTGGTAGGCCCTCCTGGGACTGGGAAAACATTACTTGCACGCGCAGTTGCAGGAGAAGCTGGTGTACCCTTTTTCACTGTATCTGCCAGTGAATTTGTTGAAATGTTTGTTGGAAGAGGAGCGGCAAGAATTAGGGACCTTTTCAAAGCAGCCAGGAAATTTGCGCCGTCAATTATATTCATTGATGAATTAGATGCAGTTGGAGGCAGGCGTGGGAGAAGTTTCAATGATGAACGTGACCAAACATTAAATCAGGCAAGCTTTTGGGCATATCTTAACAAAAGAATTGATATGTAACTTGTTCATAATTTTCAAGGACTAACTTATACATATACTAATTTTTGGGGATTAAAGCTAGATGGGTCCCAATAATCTTGAGACTAGTTTGTTGGTTCACTCATTGGGAAATAGTTGTGGGAGGAATCTAACATCTGGAAGCGCTAGAATTTATCTATACGTTTTTCCTTTTTTCTTTCCCTTACTGTAATGTCAGGTAGATAACAACAATTGTCATTTGTGTATTATTTTTTTCCATTGTATAATTTCTTCATGCACTACATAATCTTGAAAAATTGAAATTAAAGGGGGTTAAATCTCTTGCGCACTTAATGACTACTATTGGTTCTAACCTAAGCTTCTCTATATTTTCTGTCTCTGTAGTTGCTGACAGAAATGGATGGATTTGAGTCAGAGATGAGAGTTGTTGTTATTGCGGCAACAAATAGACCAGAAGCATTGGATCCAGCCCTATGTCGTCCTGGTCGTTTCTCAAGGAAAGTATATGTAGGAGAACCCGATGAAGAAGGAAGGAGAATGATATTGGCTGTACATCTAAGAGGAGTTCCTTTGGAGGAGGAAACCAGCATCATATGCCATTTAGTTGCTTCTCTCACCCCTGGTTTCGTAGGTGCTGATCTTGCAAACATTGTCAATGAAGCTGCTTTGCTTGCTGCTCGTAGAGGTAAAACTGAGTTATGAGTTACCATTTATATTCAAATCCCTTAGTTGTTATCACATACAACAACGTTATTCATCTCATGACGCCTTATGTTAAAATAGATTATAATTTAGAGTAATCTTTGATTGAAGAGAATGTAAGGCAAAAGGACTTGAATGTTTTCATTGTTTCTTGTAGCGTGCATTGAATGATGTTTGATTTTTTTTATATTTTCAAGACTGTTGAAATCAGTAATGTCAAACATATGCATTTGGACTCTGTTGCAGGCGGTGAAACTGTGACTAGAGAAGATATAATGGAAGCTATTGAAAGAGCAAAGTTTGGAATCAATGAAAAGAAGTTGAGTCCCAATACAATAAGCAAGGAGCTTGGGAAGATATTCCCATGGATGCCAACCTTGATGGGTAGAAGTGAGAGAACACCGAATGATCCCCAAGGACCATTAGGCTACCAAGCATTGAGCTCATGAATGCGTTTGCATGTTTACAACCATTTACTTCTTGCTTGTAAGTAATAACAAATTTTGATCACTTCTTAGATATCTTGATAACATTAGCGATTAAGCAGCCACTATATTGTTTGGCAAAGCTATCAAATTTGTTTTGTACGATGGGTTTGTCATGGCAAAGGGTTCGGTCTTTTACTTCAGATGATAAGGGGTCTAACATATTTTATTAGAGTTGAGCGCCTTTTCGTGTTTTTTTTTTTTTGGACAGAAGCCTTTTCGTGTTTAAATCTCCTCGTATTTACCATTAGATTGTGATTTAATAATAACACTGAAAAAAATAACTAGAGGTCTTTGGTCATTAATTTTTTCTCCAAGAGATGGAGGGAAAAACAATTGAGGAGATATTTCCATGTACTTTCGGCCAAAAATTGATATGGCAGTCAAAATTTACACAAGATCTTGATTTTGAGTTGAATTAGCGTATCCATCAGCGTAGAACAACTACAGAGGGCGATAAATCTATCTACAAGACATAGGATCGTGTATATTCAAATCCGATTTCAGCCAATTAAAATCTTTTCATTTATAGAATACCAAAGACTCAGCCAACATTAAATATAGTTCAGGATACACCGTAAAGCAAAAGTTCTCAATGCAAGCTACGTTACTAATGTAAAAAAGCAAAAACTTAAAACGCCTTCAAGTTCCTCCAAAGTTAGAGAGGCGTGTCCCCATATCCTTCAGCGATACTGCCAATGAAAGTGTTAAAAATCCGTTAATATTGTCAACATAAAGTACAAGATATATATCAGTACTCATGACAAATCCTGTACGGTGCATCTGATTCTTTGTAAAGAGAAAAAAGTGATGGTAAAACAATACAGAGCAAGTAATACAAAGACTATTCTTTTCTACCTTAATGAAGCCAATTTCCTTGGCATTGCTTCGGAAGCACTGGCGGCAACACATAAGCCCATACTTCCTAATCAAACCATGAGGGTTACCACACACCCGGCTGGAAAAACACAAGGAAAATTAGTCATAATCAACGTAACTATTCAACATTGAATCAAGATATTAAAAAAAAAAAAAAGCACCCAATTAAAGAAATCCACGGTAGTAATTGAGACCAAAAAAATTCTAGCTCTATGACCAAAGATAAGCCAGCTTTTAGAAGTGCTTGATGCACAAGCTCGGTTCTAAACATTATGACCGGCCCCAATGCAACATCTGCCATGTTTTACAATGTAGAAGGCGATAAAAATCGCAAATAATAGAACCCCAGGTTAGTAAACAAATAACCTAACCAATAACTTACTATTCGATAAATAGAATAAACTAGTCATTTAATCCCTGAATTATTGGCCCCGGTCAATTAACTTTACTCTCTAAATGAGGCGAATGCACATGCTGACACTAGAAATTAACAAATCCGCTCCACATTAACATTCTTAGAGTCCTTGAATCAAAAAGAAACTGCAGTAGTTTGTTATTTTCATGGTCTAAATGTAGATGAATCTGATAATTTGGACATCCAAAATGTCAGTTCACTAGTTCAGTCATTGAAAATATACATAATCACCAAGGTTATTGTGCAATTTGATTATTCGATTGATTATGAACATTATGGCTAAACCGCATCAGAAGACAAAGGGCTTAACATCGTTAAACCAAAATAAATCAAATCACTTAAGATACTCTTGATTACAAACACGAACAAACGATTCAGCCATCATATTGGGGCTCAGAGATAACTTGGCGCTAAAGATGAACACTTTAACAACCATCTGATAATGAGATTTGAAAGGGTCAACCAACTAAACGATTCAAATCCATCATGCCCCATGAAACAGAACAGTTTTCCATAGAAATCTATATTCGCTGAGAAATTAAACGCGAACCGGTAAACCTACCAGGTGCGAGAACCAGGACCGTAGTTCTTAGGGTGAGAATTCCACACGTTGGAGTGACCCATCTTCAGCTGCGCCAAGAAACTCTGCTTCGGCTACCAAAGCTCGCGGCTGCTGATGAATGGACGCAGAGGAGGTAGGGGGTTGATATCACGCTGTTATATATGCCAAGTGAAAACCCTAATTAGACTCTTTCAGTTCAACGACGTCGTATCATGATGAGAGGTATGACCCAAACCGACCCTGATTGAAATTTCTTTGGAAAAATCACAACCAGAATACCAGATCTCGAAAAAAAAGTTTTAAAAGTTATTATTTTTATTTTGAAATTTATGTTGTTTAGATTATTATTGGGATTTTTTAGTAATTATTTTTTTCTTGAGATCTCATTGTAATTCTCCTAATTTTTTATTTTGTGTATCTGATTTTTACAAGTTTCGATTATCTAAATCCAACTTCAATCCGTTGGCCAGAAAAAAAAATCCAACCTCAATCAGAATTTGATTCAATAAAAAAATTGATTCATCCGTTTCTTTTGATAAAGTATATCATTATTATCATTTTAATTAAAGTTTTGAATAAATTACATTGCTTATATTTAACAAAATATCATTTCATTAATTAATAATACATATAATTAAAGTTTTTTCCAGGTTTGTCTTGCTTGAAACGTTTCATTCGCATCTCATGAACAGTAATTTCCCAATGAACTTTTAAAATTCATTTCATTACATAATCCATTAATATGAATTGGATTTACAAGTCCAACACACCAAATAAATATCCAACCTAAATTTGCCCGCCCTTTTAAATTAAATTTTAAGAAAAATTATTTTTTGGTCTTTTAAATTTTAACTCGATTACGACATAGTCCTTGGTATTATTATGATTAATTTGGCCTCTCATTGCCTAGACTAGATTTAGAACGACCTGGGATCCTTTCAATGATGGGGAAGCGTTGGTTTATTACAATTCTTTTATGTAACATATAAAGCACTGTTACTATTAGATGTATTTTCATTGGGATTTTTTCCTGGATTATGAGACCAATTTTAGGGGGTGTTTGGATGAAGTCAAACTATAGTTTGGAGAATAGCTTCTGGAGAGAATAGATTTTGAAAGAATAGATTTTCTGAAAAAGTAATTCTGATAAAGTGAGAGTGTTGGGATAGTTGTTGTCAGAAGTGCTTTTATATGTAAAAATTACTAAAAAGGACATAAGTTTAAATGATAATTACATATAAGATATATTTCATAATATCTGTTTATTTGAAGTAATAAATTTGTTAATAATATATATTTTGACAACATAATAAATAAGACATAAATAATATAAATAAAAAAATTAATACGTATATATATTAATAAAATAAGTAAATATGTTTTTTGTAAAATAATTTATTTTGCCAACAAAAAATATGATTATTTCTTACCAGGAGCTAGGTGAAGAGTGAAGGAGGAAGCAAATAATTGACGCCTGCTCTGTGTAATATCCCCTGGACCCACCACCAACGTTCAATAATTTGAAGCAGAAGCAGCTCTTGGTGGCTATATCTAAAACCATGGTTTTGGGGGGCAAAACCATGATTTCCCACAAAACCATGGTTTGAGATTTTTATAGGGTGTTTGGCAAATTTTTTTTCCAAACCATAGTTAGGGGAGATAACCAAACACCAAAAAAAAAAAATTGAGCATATCATTTAAGGACCCTGTCAACCAGGGTTCATTATGAGTCCATAAAATTGAGATGCTGGTATTCCAGTAGAGTGGCATCTCTCTCTTCTTCTTTTTTTTGAACCAAAATGCCACCCATAGAGATCAATATTTGGACTTCAATTCGTTTTTTTATTCCAAAACACCTTCTACCTCTTGTGCTTGATTGCTTTCACAAACCCATCAATAAATGGAATCCACTGATTTTCTTTTTTCTTTTTCTTTTTTTTTTCCCAACAGGCCTCTGAATTTGTTGATATGACATAAAGACCCTTGCGTTGTGGTGGGATCATAAAGATATCATTGTAGGTTTTGAATGGCTGGTTCTACTCATGTCCAAGGACCACTGCATTGCAATGTTAGAGATATCAAGGGTCACTAGTTAGTTGAGATAGGCTCTATATAAAAGGTTTTTTATTTATGTATTTAGCGTGATGGGATGTGTATACTGAGAGAGGGTAACTTGGATCTCTCTCTCTCCCCTAAAAGTTTTGGGATCAATTCAATTCTAATGAGCTTGTTGCTCCATCATTTATGAGATTTTTTCTCCATGTCGTTGTGTTGTTCTTTTCCAACTAATTAATATAGTTACTATGCAATACATCTCAAGAGATCAAAATTGCTATGCTGATGCTTTAGACAATAATGGTTTGAATACTTCATCCATAGTACGAGACCTTTTATTTAATAAAAGAAGAGGGAATTCACCCATACAAGCAATCAAAGCTAAATAGAGATGGCAAGTTGTTCAAGTGCACAAAGGATTTCCAGGTATAGCGGATGAAATAATACGGGTGAGCTGCCTGGTTTATTCCTCCAAATCCACAAAAACTAAGCAGTAACAGTCCAAATCAGATTCCGTTCAGAATTATCATTCATACCCAACTCCTTACACAAGTTTAAGGACATCCAGTCACACAAAGAAGACGAGGTTAAAAAAAAGAGACATAAAGGCTTTTACTTGGGTCAGGACAATTTTATTAGAGGGCTTGTTTTGTGTGTGGCATAGATCCTTTCATTTTTGCAGTCCCAAATTTTGCTGAGAATAAAAACAGCCACCGACGATACATAAACTGCTTTCATTGTATTTCTGTGGTCCATGTGGGCAAACCAGCCTTTCAACCATTCAATAATTCTTCATCTGACACCCAACCACCACCCAAACCAAATTTTTGTAGGCAGATGATGTCTTCCTCAGGGCATGTTAAAGATTATTGTTTGAAAAAAGAATACAGAATAATCATCAGTTTCTTAGATCCAGTATGCTCAGATGTACTCCTCTAGTTCTATTTATAAGAATTGAGAGAAAGTGAATTTCAGTCCTATTTAATATGTCAGAAGTAAATTATAATTAGGACGAGAGTAGTAGTATCTATTAGAGCTTTTCTGCATCCTTTGGTTATGGCGTCAGCTACTTTTAAGCCATGGATTTTCTAAATAATCTAAATTCATGTTTGTCAATGACCTTGTAGTTTGATGATATAAATATTTTGTAAGAAAGAGGTAGCAGGTTTTTTTTTTCCCCCCTAAAGCATAGGTATCCTCTTATTAGAGACAATCATATTGAGGTACTATTGGGCACTAAATGTAGGCACCTTTTTCAACTGGGATTCAAACCTTGGTTTATCCCTTCTGCTAGATCCAACTTCCGTTGGTAAGAGGTAGCAGGTTTGATGATGCTATGTGTACCTTTCCAATTTTTGCCAGAACAACAAGTGTTTGTTTTTCAATGCAAATAGACTTTAGTTTAATTGGGCTCCACACAGTTCATGGAACGAAGGCCCATGTAAGCAAACCCAACCTTAAAATCCAAATTGTGTTTTACCACAATTTGTTTATTATTCAGCATTAACAACAGTGCATTCACCCATCGTACCATGGGTTTAGCCATCAAACAGTTGGACATTCTGACTTAAAAAAAGAAAGTTTCGATTCCTGAGATCATCATGGCACTTAGGGAGGCATATTTACAACCAGGTAAAGCATAAAATTTGGAGCTAATGCTCTAACCCCCCGGCCAATGACCTAGGCACGCTAATGACCTAAATAGGTAGCGTGTGATCAACAAATGGTTGGATTGTATGTAATTGGCTAGTTCGGCTTGTGAGTGAATCCAATCCCTTACCTAAAATTTTCATACTAAAAAAAAAAAAAAACTACTTTCGATCCTTAATATAAGATTTTGTTTAATTTTTATTTTAGTTCTAATTGTAAGACCCCAATCCACTTTGTCTCTCATATTTATGCATTTTTTTCCAAACTAATCCATTTAATAATAATAGTTCTAACCAATAAACTTGATTAGTGAGGATATTTTAGGAAAAATAACATATATTTATTATAAATAACTAACTTAACTTACTTTTTTAATTTTCTCAAATTAGTTAACTAGCTCTTATAATTAGGACTGGAGGTAATACATGCTAATCAATCAAGCCAACTGCTAATTGCGCCACCGTTGATTTTTCATTTCGGTTTTTAATTATGTGGGAATTTCTTCTGCAAAAGCAAATTCCTTTTTTTTTTTTTTGCCACAATATAAAAGCAAATTGATCATTCTTGTCTTCTTGCGGAAGAATAAATGAATCATTCATACAAAATTTCCATGAATTTCATTAAAATTATATATACCATCCATTTCAATGTGTGCATACTTTTATTTTTCACAAAAGAAAAGTAACTTATACATTATTCTATTTTAATTAATGCAATTTTTGCTACTTCTTTTGGTCAGATAAGTTTTACTGATTTAAATACATCTTAAAAGACAAAAAAAAGATAACAATTTATATCATAAAATAAAAAATAAAAAAATTCTTGTATATCATGAAATACATGTTAACGATAAATGGAAAATTTGTTGATAAAAACATAAATAAACAATTAATATAGTTCAATTAATTTTTGTACAATATGATAAAAAGATATGTTTTAAAACAAAATCCCTTCAAATTCCTCAGTCCAACTTTAAAGTTTGTGAGTATGTCATGGGTGCTTATTGCTCATAACAGTAATAAGTATCATGTACTAATCATTGTAATACAATTTAAACTATCTAAAATCTGATATGGATTATTTAAATTTAAAATTTTTAATATACAATTTTTTAATGATAAATTTATTTCTTAAAAAAAGTGTTAGTTATAAGATTATATTTATTTTGAATTCTGCATCTATTAAAACAAAAAATTAATTAAAATTTACAAAGAATTTAAGTTCAATTTGGATTATCCAAAATTTATCTAAATGATACAAATTGTGGTAAACACTTCGCAGTCATCGTTGTAATGAGCATGGTGTTACTACTATTAGTTAAACCAAACATTATGCTGGCGAACAAGAAAAAACCAAACATTATGCTCTTTTATATTTGATCTCCGGTGAAATAGTTGAACTAATTAGTATCCCTCTAAC